GCAGGAAAAAAAAATAAAAAAAGCTCCTGTAAGTGAAAACGCAGCATCAACTAGGTCTGATCGACAGTTTGACAGGGTACAGACAGAAACGGACGGAAGCTGCTGTAAGTATGGAGCCGCTGGGTTGTGTCTGAATGTTTGACAGTGTACAACTCACAGAAGGGAAGAACGAAATTAAGGCTAATAGGTTAATAGGTGACCTCTGCTGTACGTTTGCTCTGATGTTGCTGAGAGCTCATCAGTCACAGAGGCGGGTCCTGGTCCTGGTTCTGGTTCTGGTCCTGATCAGGGGTAGAATGGTTCAGCTGTCGGTCCAGTGTCCGGGTGGGCAGTTCGTGCCAGTTTCCAGCGCTTCTGTAGTTTTGTTGTGTGAAGGAAATGCTCTGACTGGTTTCTTCAGAAAATTAATCGACAGCTGGGAAGAAGCGACAACATGGCAGTGTCTGTACAGTTTAAACAGACACTTTAGTCATTCGATCGTCAGTCATTCACTAACAATCTGATAAACAGTCAGCAGACCGATGAATAAACAGTGACAATAATGTAAACTTCCATCAGTGAGCTGCAGTGGGTCCCTGCTGGACTTCAGGTGGATCAGAGATGCAGTCTGGATCGGGTCCTCCAGAATCTGGACTCAAGTCTGTCAGAAGATGTCCTCGTCTGTCTCCTCAGGTCAGTGACACAAGCACATGGTTGTTTCTCTGTCTTCGTGGAGACCCTCCTTGACATAAGGCATCCCCTAACCCTGGGCCAGACCTCGACCATCATAACTAAATGTTTACCCCTACCCCTACCCTAATCCTAAACCTGGCTCTAACATGAACCCTGAAACCACGTCTGCACTCTCAAACAGGCCTTTGAAGGTGTGAGGGTCGGACAATATGAATGTCTCAGGAACTCCAAAAAAGTGTGTGTAGAACTGGAAATTATGAGTTGAAAATCATTCTTATAGACATCATGTCTGCATCATTAACACTGAGGACCACCATTAATCTGAACTGGAGTCTTGTCAAGTCCTGGTTTTACAACTGAAATGGTTTCATATCTTGAAATGAATGTTTGACAGTTTGTGTTTGGACTGAGGGGGATCACTGAGCATAACCATTAACGTGTCATATGCTGTGCACAACAGCTGTCAGTTTAAATCATGTGGTCAATGTGCAGAACAAGCAAAAGCACATCCCTGCCACTGTGGATTTGACAACAACAACGACGTTACCGGCATGATTTGTATGTCGCGTGTTACATGTCACACCTCTAACACCAGGATGCTAGTCTGGGGTAGCATTATGCTGGCTTTTTTAGTTTAGTGTAAACAGACAAAGTCTGGACTTGTTTTAGATTAGACAGCTTCAGTGTCTCAGCAGAAAACTCTTCATCAGGAGAATAGAGGCGGGTTGGACTGAAATGGTCCTGTCTGTGTTTCAGGGCAGCGGTGGTCAAGGAAACAAGGAGAGTAGAGGAGGAAACAGTGTGCAGGAGGTGAAGAGGAGAGGAAGGATGGAGAGGAGCAGAGAGGAGAAGCTGAGTGACAGACTGCAGACACTGGTAAACACATGGCCTGCTTGTCTCTGGTTATCTGTAAACTTGTCTTCTTCTCTGTTAATGTCTCTCTTTCTGGTGGTCTCTTTGCGGTTGTCATACACCACCTACTGTATGTGTGTTGCACATAATGCACTCCCAGGTGCTCACATATAGATGATAATGGACTCATGGTACTCTTCACCTCCACCTCACCCATCATTTTTTAAAGGGATCATTTCTTCTGTGTGTGCATGCCTGCATGTGTAGGATCTGTCAAGCAGGTCTGCAGCCACTGGGACGGGACTTGTTTACTCTGAGATCTTCACTCATCATAAGAACCTGTGGGACCCCAGGTAACCTGCCCACCTCATTCAGCCCGTTGGTGTAGAGCAACATACTATGTGACGTATTTATTTTAGTCTTTTTGTGTCGTCGAACAATTCTGAGACTACAGTATGACTGTCACCCTCCTTCCCTTGTGTTAGAGCGTAATTGCTGCATATTGTTGTCGTGTTGCAGTCACCCAGAGTGTCCGGACAGGGTGACAGCCATCATGAAGGAGCTGGAGAGACAAGAGCTGCTGTCTCACTGTGTTCTAGTGGAGGTTGGACTGTGTGTCTGTTGTTAGTGTTATCACTGTATCTATATATACATAAAACTTTATGACGCTCAGAATATTCATTCCAGTACTGAAACATGTTTAGTACAAGAACAGAACTTCATACATGAAACATCACGATTCTTTTTTTTTTTTCAGCTTTATTTTTATTGATATTTTCATACAGTACAAAACAAAAAGGCACAACTGAAGATGTGACATGGGCGACAAAATAGAAATACGGACAGAGGACAAAGGAAACTCATTTCTGCTTTTCCTCATCCTGATTTTTCGAAAAAGAACAATTGGTTGTTACAATTTTATTTGTATTTTACTGCTTTTGTTTGCAATCTTGTTCTTTGGGTCACTACCCAGATCTCAGGAGCACAGCTGAGGGTTTGTAGTTCGACCGGTAAATCTCTTCACCGCAGTGGTCCGGTGAAGCACCTGCATTACTGCTGATACTGCACCGATCACCTGTCAACCTCACGCTGCCTTTGAGCCTCACTAGTGTCAGTCCCAACAGACTGCTTGGTCTCATACACAGAGGAGTTTAATGACGGAGTCTTTTCTAAGCAGCCAACCTTATCTTACTAAGAAGTAGTTTTTAAATCACTATATAATAAAAAGCAAAACATGAGATCCTGTCATTGGTTCTTCATTCTTCTGTTGTGTGTGTGTGTGTGTGTTTCAGCCCAGAGAAGCTACAGAAGAAGAGCTGCTGCTTGTTCATGCGTGAGTCCACAAATAACATGTAATAACAAACTGGTTCCACTTTGATTTGGCTCGACTCCACTCTGCTGTGCTGGACTCTGATCTGATCCCTGCTGCTTGTAGGAAACCTTATGTGGATCTGATGAGGTCGACTCAGACGATGACAGTCGATGAACTCCGCACTCTGTCAGAGAAATATGACTCTGTTTACTTCCATCCGGTAAAAAAAAAAACGCATATACACACACACACACACACACACACACACACGCTTCTAATGTGGTTTAACCAGTCCAGGTTAGCCTGTTGTTATCAGGTTAAAATAATCTTGTTAATCTTCATCTCCCCAGTTTAGTTCTTCCCACCAAGTAGCTGATCGATCTGTTGATCTTAGGTAATTAGATAAAGTTCTGCAGAGATATGTAATTAGATGAGTGCTGATCATGTGACTGGAGTGATATAGTAAACGTTGTGGAGCATCCCAGCATGCACTGGGGCATCAGAAGTCGGCGCTGAGCGCTACTTCATCTGCCCTGACAGCTGGAGTTACTTTTCATCCCCTTCCTATGCAGTGAATTAAGAAATGAATGAAGAACTAAGTTTCTTTAAGCACAGAGAACATTTTTCATATTCACCTTAATAAAATATTTTTAAAAACTTCAGATAAGCAGGAAATGGCATCATCATGGAGCAGAGAACAGGTTTGTTTGGAAAGAGATGTGTGGTTTTCACAGGATGACAACACTACACACGCCATCTTATAGAAAGAGATGCATTGTGGCAGATTAAACTACCCACAGTACAGTATATAAAATACTTAAGTCAGGTCCAGTTTTAAATAACTACAGTGGTAAAGTGCAACACACACACTAATGCAGCAGTAATATTCACCCACACACGTCACACTCAACAGTAGTAACACTGACAGGGACCATTCCTCTGCATAATCAGTACTTTAAGCACATTTGACTTGTAATACTTGTTTGATTTGAGTAAGATTTTGAAAGCAGGATGTTTGCCTGTAGTATTTTTACAGTGTGGTACTTTTACTGAAGTGAAGGATCTGATCTGCTGTCAGTTGGGATCCGTGGGTGTAGTGGCAGCAGGGTGTGTTGGCCTCCTGCTCTCAAACCTTGTGTTTTTTGTCTTAGTTTTAATAACATGGTCACATTTCATCTAAATCTGTGCCACCTGAACTTTAAGGGCAGTAAATTGTAAATGGCAGCTGTCAGACTCTCAGGAGTCGTGTGCTAACAGCAGAGAGAACTGGTTTTTATATATTTCAGACTCAGGACAGAAACATGAAGTCACAGCTGTGGAGAGATCACATACACTGTCCAGTTGAAACTGTATTTGGTTTGTGTGTGTGTGTGTGTAGGAGTCTTTCCAGGTGTGTATGCTGGCCGTGGGCTCAGTCCTGCAGCTGGTCGACCATGTGATGACCTCTGAACTCAGGAATGGATTCGCTGTCACCAGGTAACATCAGGTGCTCTTGCTCTGTCACAGCTCTGACAGTGATCACCTGAATGCGTCCCTACCATTACACCTCTCTGTGTCTCAGGCCTCCAGGTCATCACGCACAGCGCAACGAGTCCAATGGCTTCTGTATTTTCAACAATGTGGCGATCGCAGCGCGATATGCTCAGACCAGACACTCGGTCAGCAGGTAGGTGTGTGGCGTGGTTTCACACTGGACATGCAGCTGTGCTGTTCAGGTAACATGGGAGAAATGATGTACACTGCAAAATTAATTTGAAAACATTCTGGGAGCTCCTCCTTGAACCACCACCTTATTGTGGTGGAGGGGTTTGAGTACCCGAGTGATCCTAGGAGCTAATCAGATATGGACTTTTCTTAAGAACGACCTATGAAAAAATTTAACATTTAGGGAGATGTTGGTGAATGTGGCCCAGTGTATTTGTTTTCTATCTCTGTTAACCAATCATATGTCATTTGGGTCAGGGTGGTAGCAGAGGAATGTTTTTCTTTATGTTGTGGTGGCAATTTTTATAATAGCACCCCAACAATGTGCATGTTGGAAAACTAAATTATTTAAATTATTTGTAGAAAAATAATACTGATTATATACAACTTTCTTCATTATTTAAGTCAGAACAGTCAGTAAACCTGTGGGTCAACAATTTGGTTCCCAAAAGATAATTTTCAAATTTTCGGTTTGTTAGTTCTTTGCAGTCTTGCATGGTTGTGAACGTAGTTTTTTGCGTAAGCTCAGATTGTTAACATGTGCCATAGGAGAGGCTCTAAAATGAGCTACAAATTTTAAAGGTTTTGCATCAAGACCATCACCCCTGGTGATCCACCTTTACAGGTCACATGATGTGTAATGTGATGCATAGTCTATGTACAGTTATTGAGTATGAGATTAAAGTTCCTCCTCTTATTTCCTTACCATACTGTACCTTTTATTGTATCTGTACCTGGTGAATTTTGCTCAATAAGGGACCAGAAACAAAGTATCTCTAATGCTCATAACTATGAGCTTTTCATATAAACACCATCGGTTATCGTATTGTTTTGTGGAGGATATACATGGGCAGAGGAGGAAAGTGTAAATGTGAAATAAGTATATTAATTCTGCAGCATAATAAACAGTTTATTCTATACAAAACAGCTAGAAAATGTCTACTGATAGAGAATTAAATAAATTAAACAGTATTCAGTGGTTATTGCCCCCTCCTTGACCCGCCACCTTATTGTGGTGGAGGGGTTTGAGTACCCGAGTGATCCTAGGAGCTATGTTGTCTGGGGCTATATGTCCCTGGTAGGGTCTCCCAAGGCAAACAGGTCCTGGGTGACGGGTCAGACTAAGAGCGGCTCAAAAGCCCTTTATGAATAGAATTAAATCAAGGACCGTGACGTCGCCCAGCATGGCACAGCCGGGGCCTCACTCTGGAGCCAGGCACGGGGTCAAGGGGTTGAATGCAAGCGCCTGGTGGCCGGGC